ATCATCCTTTGAACAGGTAATAAGAAAGTTCAGTTGATTATCTGTCATGAGGTGGCGGCATATGGAAAGCGAGTGATTTATAGAGACAGAACTTTGGGCTACTCAGGTAAATTAACTGCTCTGAAAGCTTTACCTATCAATTTTTTAACATACAAAAGAGAGACCAATTGTTAACTCAAGTCTCAACTACTATCAGTTAGGAAAAGGTCTATTTTTATTTTTATTTTTTTTAAAAAAATGTATTTAAATTACAATTGGTCTATTTTACTAGGTCGTATGTGATATATGATATATCAATAGGAGTATAGGTTGTCTAACCCCTCAAAAAAGCAGTTTTTTAATCACAAAAGCAACTTACATTTTTTCACAAAAAAACCGACCAATACGAAAGCATTATTGTCCTCATCTGCCGCCCCTTATGTGGATGACAGCCTCGTTAATATTATTTCTTTTACGTTGTTTTATATACGCAAATTCTAGTATAACGCAGTCTTATCCTTAGGCGGGTCGATCCTTTATGTTTTTTAACAACAATGCATGCTTAAACTATGAAATGTCATATTTTTTTGATATTGTCTTTGAAAGTGAAATTTTATTTTGACAGCATGCATATATATTTAAAAAGCATGGCTACTCACCCATTAGGTCTACCCATTAGTTACCTTATTGTTTTATTGATTATTAAGTTGTCAATTAATGTGGTATTTAGACTACCTTGAGTAGCCTTCTTTTTTTCGGCTAGTTATTCGCTTGTAATGAAGTGTACATTTATAAATTATATCCTTCCCAAAAAAAAAAAAAGAGTTGCCAATTTGCACATAAATATATAGCCATGTACTATAAAGTCAATAAGCTATGAAGTCGTTAGAATAACAATAGCATATGAGTAGATTAAAGAAACACTCAACAATTGCGTGATAAGTTTAGCATGGCCATGTTAGATGTGGTCATTATTAAGTCCCAATTTTATAAATTGCTGTCAGAAAAAGACCTGATCAGAGAGTGTCACATTCTTTTAGGTTACCAATTTTGATTGGAATTTCCCGTTTTTGCGACCCATTAATTATTCTTTCGTGGAATTTATATATAAAAAATCAAGTGGAAAATAAAAAATAAAAAAAAAAAAGAAAAAGGGGGAGTGGACCAACATAAAAAACACGTATTCACTAAATACGTTTTCTGTACAAATTTAATTGTAAAACGTATTTAGTGAATCGGTTTTTCAAATATTTTTACAAAGAAAAACGTATTTAGAAAATACGTTTTACAAGAAAAACGTATTATCTAAATACGTGGTTTTTATGTTTATTCACTCCCATTGGTTTTCGTGCTTTTGGTTCCAGAACTTTTTTTTTTTTTTTTT